TTTCTGTCCAGGCTGCACATACAGAATTTTTCGAGTTTCATTGCAGTAATCAAGTTATATATACGCTTCATCTAGGGTGGCCATGTACTCGCTTTTTTCTCTAGCCAGATGTCATAAAGCTTTTTGCGCTAGTCTTTTGGTTCTGTTTGTATGCAAATGTTAGGTGATGTGCGGATGCTTTTTTCTTGGTAGCTGCTTGCAGTCTTCATGTATATTGGTGTTAACTGTGAATTGAGATATACCCAGACGTTTTGCTATGGTCCTCTAGTTAGGTGGATTTTCTTTTCTAATAACTTTTAAACTTTCCTTATCTTCTCCTTACTTCGAGGTTTGTGAGCACTTGGAAATATTGGGTGTAACTCACCAGAAGCATTTGCTTGTTGCTTTTTCGTTTTGTTACCAATAACTCTGATAACTGTAGACTGGGAAACTTCAATTTCATTTTTCTTGAGAGCTTTTACGACAGCGCAGCATAAAATGACCTTCGGAAAGAAGTTTGATGCACAAGTCAATTTCGCTCGCAACTGCTGCCTGCATTTTTAGAACAATCAAATTCAAACATTTTTAGAATGCAAAGAACAGCAGCATCTACCAGTTTTCAAAATTTGATTTATATTCGACAAGTATAACAAAAGATATCATGAATTTGATTCATAATTAGCAAATCACCCTCTATATCATGGATTTGGTTCACACATTAGAGAATATTTTTTTATACCGGGGTCTTTATTTTTTTATATCTTAATTTCGATGTACATGTTATTTAGTAAGGTTTGTTTTTAAAAATAAAAAATAATTTACATAATTTGACAAAAATGTAACTTGAATTTTACAACAAATTCAAGTTTTATCAAGACAACTACTAGCGTAACTACCGGAACGAGTGGGATGATCGGATCACCTAAGCCAAGCCCCTAAGCTCCGATGTAAACAAATTTGGTGAATTCGGTGTTCAACGACATATCTACAGTGTTATTTTTTAATACCCTATTACAGCGCTGTCCAACTGGCGGCCCGCGGGCCGTATACGGCCCGCCAAATAATTTTTACGGCCCGCGAGTACATTTTACTATGAATAAATTTATGTTACTAAATTATTATTATTAATAAAATTATTTTACTACCGTGTTTCCCCGAAAATAAGACGGTGTCTTATATTAATTTAATTTTTGCTCTGAAAAATGCGCTAGGTCTTATTTTCAGGGAATGTCGTATTTTTCCAGGAAGAAGAATTCACATTTATTATTAAACAAAAAAATTCCCAAGTCGAACTTAGACGAGAGTGACGTATATCCGGTGTGTCGAACTGTCGCCTTTTTATAGCGTCAACATCGGACTCGCTGACCAATTAGTGCTTACTGAACCGTAGCACTATGCAAATGTCATGTGGTTTATCAACCTTCTTGGCCCCCGAAATGTTTGGTGAAGAAAATATGGCCCGCGGGCTATGATAAGTTGGACAGCGCTGCCCTATTATATTACTATCCTACGCAATTGGGTTACTATATTGCGCAGCCTCCTGCTCCCGTTGATGTAGTTACGCCTCTCAAAACAACGTATGTAAATAATTATAAACCAGAGGGACTAATTATTAAAAATCACAGATATTAATAGGTTTTCATAATATGATCAAATCATTTTATTAACTTCAAAAGCTGTTTTTATGGTTGTGGCAAAAGTTTATGTTAACCTACTTCCTAGTGCTACGGAATCTGACTCTTAAGTCAGCAAACCATGTTTCTGCAACTGCTGATATTACACTGGACAACAATGATTTTGTTTCAGGCTCAAAATTAGCATATTCTTATGTATTTTCATCTGCTGAATTCAAAAATCACTATAAAAATGACCGATTAGCTCTTGCTTTGGAGTAGCAGTTCCCAACCAGTGATCTGCGGACAACCAGTGGTCCGGAAGAGCTAAAATATGGTCCGCGAAAGATTTAAAACTTTTATTCTTTTTAAATCTCTTATATAAACTAAAAGAAAACTATACTGGGAACCAGATATAAACAACGGAATAGGATATAGAATGGAACCGAATGCATATTTTTTAGCATTATTTATATTGTTTGTTATATATGAAAATATGCTGATTTTATTTCATCCTAATCGTTGCTTCACCTTACAAATTTAATATAATCATACAATACTTTCTTTAAATTAAGAAGAAGCAAAAACATTATAAAACAAAGAAAGTCTCTAATTTGTTAAACATTTTGTAAAAAAGTTCGTCGGGTTACATAGGGTGATTTGCTAATTGTGACTCACTTTTCCCTTAGTTTCTTTCACGAAGCACCTGTCGATGAATTGTTTTTGTCTGCTCGATATGTTGTTCATCTCATTTGCTCACAGCATGAGATGGAGAACAAGTTTTGACTGATATCTATGACCACTTCTGTTGAATTACTTTCCAAATACCATCTAATTTTGTAGCCTTACGAGGAAAGAGACGTTACATCAGGAAGCCGAATCCAAATACAGTGGAACCTCGGTATACGACCTTAATCCGTTCCCGATGTTTGGACTTATACCGAATTGGACGTATACCAAACCAACCTTTCCCATAAGAAGTAATGTAAAAATGATTAATCCGTTCTCGTGTAAAAAAAATAACTGGCTTTAAACACCTCGCTTTGCTGGCTAGTTCCTGCTTGATTTTTCGTGAGATCAGCGTGTATCTTTTTAGCTTTCTCGCAAATAATTGCTTCAGATACGCTGTCTCCAGCACTGTTTTTCAGTTATCCAAAGCNATATGGTCCGCGAAAGATTTAAAACTTTTATTCATTTTAAATTATAATTTAAAATGATTGACGTAATCTAAATAATACAAAATATATGAGAAAGGTTTTATAGTAAAATTTGTAAACAAAATGTTTCATTACAAAATAGTGCATCTTCAATTATTTCAAATTTTTGTTGGCTTTTTTTCTGTAAAACTCCTCAGATCAGCATATAATAAAACTCCACTCTATTATAGAATATATATTTATGCAAACATGACAGCCCTCCTTGACTCAATCAATTATGCTGAGCACAAGTGGAAAATATGTGGCGATCTAAAAGTCATCACTGTACTCTTAGGAATGCAACTGGGGTACACTAAATACTGTTACTTTTTATGTGGGACAGTAGGGATAGGAAATCACATTACATTCAAGCGGACTGGCCTGCAAGAAATCTTGACTCTACTGAGAAAAATATCGTTGCCGAGCCTCTCGTGGACCCAAAAGATGTTTTTCTTCCACCCCTTCATATCAAACTGGGTTTAATGAAAACTTTTGTCAAAGGCATGAACCAGAAAAGACAGGCATTTAAGTATTTAAGAGACAAATTTCCTAGATTGAGTAATGCAAAGGTTAAGGAAAATATTTTTGTTGGGCCACAAATTCGAAAACTTGTAAAGCATCCCGCGTTTGACCAAGTTTTGGAGGGAAAAGAAAAGGAAGCTTGGGAAGCCTTAAAGGGAGTTATTCATTGATTCTTAGGCAACAAAAGAGACGATAACTACACTCAGTTGGTGAAAAAATATCATCAACTAGGATGCAACATGTCCGTCAAAATCCATTTTCTCCATTCCCATCTAGACTTTTTCCCTCCTAGTTGTGGAGCTGTCAGTGATGAACATGGGGAAAGATTCCACCAGGATATTTCTGTATTGGAACAAAAATATCAGGGCCATTGGAATAAAGCAATGCTTGCGGATTATTGTTGGTCTGTGTGTAGGGATGCACCAGAACTCACAAGAGGCAAGCCAAAAGAAAACGATCTCATGAAGTCACCACATGATTCTCTTTATACCGAACCACCTGCCAGGTATTCTTCTATTAATTTAGAACTCTTAGAATGTTACTGTAATTTAAAAAAAAATTCAAAACCACTTTCAATGTTGTTAGCATATGTAATTAAAATGTATCGTTATTTCTTATGCTGTTAAAATCACCTATTGTATACCACAGAAACTAGAGCTAATAAAAATTTTTCTTTGTTATATTCAATTTTCTCATCCCAAAATTAGTAAGATTTCACTCATGAAATAAAGGAAACATTCAAAAACATTTGTTTTGTTGTCCAGTGTTATAAACACGGAGAATTATCGGATGCTCCACACTAGTTGCATGTATTTTTCTTTAGTGAATGAGTACGGGTATAATAAAATTCTAATAAGTATATTCAGAAAATCCATTAAAATAATTCAAGTAAAACGATTTTCGATGCATTTTACTGGTTTTTATGTTAATTATAAATGGTTGCATAAGCGTCAAAGTAATCATCTGCAACTACTTAAGTGGAGCAAAAATTCAAGGTTAGCTGTTGAACACAACTTCCTGTAAAAGAAAACTGCGCTATATACTAATTATTTAATATGAAAACTTCAGTAAAATTCAGAATAAGTCAGGTTTGAATAAAATTATTCATTTGCTGTTGCAAGTGTTTAGTCTTATTTTTTAATAATTGTTTTATAAATTAAACTATAAATATAAATTTCAATAAAAATATTTATCTATTTTTAGATTCTTTATCTATGAAATTCAATTTAATATTGTTTGTGTAAACACGTAAATCGTTTATTCTTTCTTAATAACGTGGTTAACGGTTTACACTTCATTACTTCAGACTTAAATTTTTTACAATAAACTATTCACAAGCCTAGAATATAATAAACTAAATTGTTGAAGTAATAATTATATAATCAAACCAAAGCTTAATCAAATTAAAGTTAAATCAACTTTTGATCATAAGTACGATATACAGAAACGTTTATTGTAATAAGATATAAAAGAAATAGAGATATTTTAAACGAATATCAAAAATGGAATTACTTGTTTATAGTTCAATTCTTAGACATTCATTAAAATATTCTTTACTTATTATCAAATGATTATCATAAATCGACAAAACAATCAAGCTTTTTCTATCGAAATCTAATTTATGAAATAAAAATTAAAATTATGCATCATTTGAAACGTTTATTTTGAATGAAATACTTTTTCTTTTCAGATTAAATGAAAATAAATACAATAATTTAAAATAAAGAGTAAACTTGAAGAATGAAGCACGCTTTTGCAAGTCATTTAATACTGTACTAATTGTAATCATTATTAAATATTAAGCGTTGTAGGATTTGTATTTGTGTTTTATTATTTTGTAAGTAAATGAAACTGTTAAAATTTGACAAATCTTAAGATTAGTAATAAATTTACTTTGAAGCAATTTGGTTTGAATATAACCAAAATATTTTTTTTTTGTTAAATTAAAAAAAATGTAACCGGAATATTGTACTTGAATCATGAAATCTTAACAGCTTCTCATTTTTCGAGAAATAAAATGATATAACATTACATATATGATATTAATCAAAGTTTTATCAGAGAAATACCAACAATTACATTATTTGTAATGTGCTAATCTTCAAACAATATCAATATTATCTAACGATAGAAATATTAAATATTACAGTACACGTTTGCTAATTTGGCTTCTTATTTTTCCGACATTCCCACTATGATCTAATTTCGTTTGTTAGTCATTTCACACTTTTTAAAAATTTTTGTTTGCTCGTATTTCATTTCTGTGTACACTATCTGCATGTCAGCGAGCTGTATTATTGCCCGTTTGCCTCGAAAAAAAAACGGTACCAAAGGATAACAGGTTAACGTCATTCATTGCGTTCAGCAACGCCGCTACTAGGGTATCTCGTTCCTTTGTGAAAATCCTATTTTGTCTCTTGTGAATTAGTGCAAATATACTGTGAATTTATATTTCTTTTATCACCATCTAAATTCTTTTGAATTGCATTTATATGGCATGATCGTCTTTATATACTAGTCTATATTCCTCCTGGACGATAAATTAGCCACCAATGCCAATTTGTACATGATTGATAGTGCAATACTATAAACTAGTGTTTAATAACTTGTATTCCGCGAGAGTGCCATAGGTGTAAAGTGAAAATATTATTAAACTTTTTTTAAAATTTTGAATACGCTTTTATTTTTAAAAGTTCACTTATCTTTCATCTTTTTACCGCCGGCCGAACGAAGGAGTAGGAGGATTAACTGAAATACAGACTGTTGGAAAATTTATGACATCAGCAAACCTCCTCACAAAAGTCGCGTGCATCAATGCATATGCCTGGGTACCAACTCTTTGATGCTTTAATAAACGTTACGGCTTATCAGTTTAAAATTCGATACTATCTCTTTACGCATTCGTTCAAAGTCTTTTTATAGTATACTAACTTGATATACCCGGCTTTATAAAAGTACCCGTCGCAGTAATTGTTACACTTGGCGTTATTAATCATAAGTTTCAAAATATATGTGGTAAAACCATTTTAATTAGGAAAATTATCAGAATGCCTATAAACTATGTGAGAAGAATGTAGCGAGTTTATAGAAAAATTATTAGAATTAGTTTATGGTAACGAGACACGTGGGCGATCTGCCAAGGATGATGACTTCCGGGAGGTCATTTTAAGGGTAACTAGCCCCTATTTAGGCAAGGACTATATACTACAAGGATAGCCAGATCCCTATTCTACAATGTTAGCCAGGAATGGCAAGTTAGTGACGTCAGCACGTGTCCTGGTCTCTCTGTTTACATAGAGCAGGGTGTGCACGTGTTTAGTTTTCGCTTTTAATATTCGTCCAATTTTGTGATTAACGAAGTGATTTATTTTAATATTTCTGTAATTGTTTTATTTGACTAAGTTTTTTATAAGGTAAGATGATTTAAATATAAGTCATTAAATATTTAAAGCTATATTTTTATGTTAGGTGAAGAACAAAATGCTGAGTACTAGGTGTGCTGTGTATGGTTGCAATAATAACCTTCTTTTTTCAAATTGGAAGCAACCTGTTTACATCGGGTTTGATCAAAAAATGACAAGAGAAATACTTTTAAAATTAATAGCAGAACTTTATTTACTATCGTATAATGTAGTAGCTTGCGTCAGTGACTGTAGTTGCAGTAACATAAGTTTATGGAAAGAATTGAATGTGAATATCAATGAAACGTTTATTATGAATCAATTATTATTATCAATGAAACGTATATTAGAGATATAAATATGTGGTTCGACATTTTTAATAGCTATGCACCAAAAGGTTCTGTTCCAAGCAAAAATGGATATGGTGTAGACTTGGAATTACAAGAAGAACATTTAAATAAAATGATAAAAATAATCTCAACAATGAGAGCAAGTGGAAAAAATGCCCTCCAAATTTTCCAGAAAGGAATGATAATCTCAATGAAATCGCTAATTGATCTTTTTCAAGATATGAAATCGACTTTTGATATAAAATACATCTGCACTTAAATCAAGATTGTCTGGAAAATTTTTTTTTTCAAATTAGAAGCCGGGGTCCTAATGAACATCCAAGCCCATTAAATGCTATATATAGGATTAGATTGATTATTTTAGGTAAGAATCCTGGTATTTTAGAGTCAAAAGTAAATACTACAGATCGAAGACAAGAGGAATATATTATACCCAAAGTTTTAGAGAAAGCACATGTAGAAGTATCAAGTGAAAATACAGACCAATATACTGAATGTAAAACTACTTTTTCTTCAAATAAATCTTCAGGAAACTCTACATGCAATCTAGACTTTAACACAATCTCTGAAGAAACTTCCTACGATGCTCTCGAGTATATAGCAGGATATTTTGCCTATAAATATAAAGAAAAATACCCAAACTTAATTAATTCCACTAACAAAATTAAAAATCATTACAACTATAGCATTCCGTCATGGGTGCAACATTTATCTTATGGAGGGCTTATTAAACCTACTGATGAATGGCTAGCAAAAATTATAGAATGGAATAAATATTTCGAAATATATCACGATGAATCGTATAAAAAAGGCCCCGGAGTTGTACAGAATTAGTCAGTGGAAACAGTTTTACCTTTTACTTTAATAAAAGATTTTTGTAAATTAAGAACTATAATAAGAATTAATTATAGAAATCTTAAACAAGAAAACTATAAAATATTGAAAAGAATGCCTTCTGAAAATGGTGATTGTCGAAAAAAAATTAAAAAGTTAAGTAAGATAATCACATATTAAAAAGTATAGCTCATTAATTTGTTAAATAAATATTAGACAAAAGACTTGTAAATTTATTGACGTACAGTACACTTATTAAATCCGAAAATTCTACAGTAGTTTACATTTAGTAGTAATTTAATAATTAATTAAGAAATGATTTAATATTTTATCGTATTTTGTTATTTGAAAGGTCTGTCATGTTGAAGTAGAGGACTTGCTGTGACGTCACATAGATCCAAGGTCATGCTAACAAATATACGGGATCTGGCTATCCTTGTAGTTTAAAGTCCTTGCTATTTAGGCGTTACAAACGTGGAGAAGACCCGGAAAATTTCACATGACCAGCCCGTCCTGGCGAGGCGCGAACCGGTGACAGAACTCCCAATATTCAGGAACTGAACCGCTTGGTCACTGGTGGGCCGTACGATTTGTGATATACCAGTACTGTACAATATTAAGTACTTGAGTTTTTTGTTCATAATTATAAATTATAAATGCTCAATTCAAAATTATAAATTATTAATAAAAAATAAAAATAAATTAAGTTTATGGATAGACATCTTGCTTAAAACTGAAATTTTCCATACTGTAGGATTATGAGATGGAATTATGAATAAAATAAAACATAAAGAGACTTAAAATTTGATATTCTCTCACCGAGAGAAGTGCTATAATTATTATTATTAATTGAACGTTCTGTAATATGCGTAAGTATATAGCCAAAAAAAAAAAAAATTATTGTTTGCATTAATTTTAAATTCATTACTCACATGACATACGCAACCATAATATTGTCTGGATAACATTACCTCGTATTTTGGAAAGAGGAGTTGGAGAAAAGACAGGGTTCAAGACTAACATCTCCTCTCTCTCACAGCCGATTATAGAAGGAGATGACTTAATATTTGCTAGGGGAAACTATTCGACACGTTTTTCTTTAATCAGTGAAATTTTAAAATTCAGTACATATTTGAAATTAGAACACAATCTTTAAAATGACTGGCTACTTTTGCTATTTTAGAACTACTTTAAGCGTTGAGGAAAGCCTAACATAAAAGCTAAAAATTTAAATACACATATACATTAAATAAATTTTGGTCGTTTTATGGAGTATACACAATTTCTAAACATTTATTATTTTCTAAACAAATTACTACATATTAACTCATTATTATCTATTTGCCTTATTGTCTTATAACTATTTCACTTTTAACTAATAATTTCGAACAAAGCATTTATAATTTATGATTACGTACAGAAAACACAAGTAGACTACTTGTATTGTACCAGTACATCATAAATCGTACTGTTTAATTAAACTTTGTCTATGACGATATTTTAAACCACACTCACTACATTCCATTTTATTTAACGTATAAGGAGTTCAACAACGTGACGGTACGATGAACAAACGATAAACGTGGTATTTTACTCTTCGAATCGGGCGAAAAGGCTGACGTTGCAAATGAAAAAAGTCAGTCATTTATAAGTAATCTAACATTTATTTTTATTTTTAACTAATACAAATTACGAATAAAGCATTCGTAATTTGTAACTATGACCAGAAAATATCACAAATCGAGTCCTGCCATTGGCGCTGTTCGCCGTAGAAACATAATTTAGAGCTGTTGCTCGCTCAGGGACTAGACGCGTATGCGGAAAAATAGCGGAAATGACTGAATTGTCCGCTGGAGGCCCTTCGAACGTTTCTGCTTTGCTACGATGTGAAAACAGTAGGAGAAATTTTATTTTTTAGTCACTTAATCATTTATTTTTAGTCATTTATTCATTAGCATTTATTAATTAATAAATTTAATTGTTAGCATTTAATCGTTAAAATATTTAGTTATTTAGTCATTTAGATTTTACTCATTTAGTTATTAGCAAACACGCCAACGTGCTTTGTTTCAATGTGCAGTTCCAGATATTGTCGTGAAAAGGAATAAAAGACACTTTCTAAGAGTGCCAGAAAAATCATTTGGAACACTGTAGAATATTCATTCCACACGAAGATAAGGAACTAACCACAAAAGCTCCTATATGTGACAAGAATTTTGAGAATCAATTCTTAATAAAATCATTCAGTGACACAATCGATGGCCAATTAGTGCAGATTGCACATGATAGATTAGCACTGACTCTGGATGTTTTTTCATCTAAATTCCCCAGTTGTTCATCCTATCTAATCATTAAAGCGTCCCGAAGGCGATGATGTCCACCAGAGAGAAAAGCTTACCTGAGAAATAAACTTTTTTCTTCAAGAAGAAAAAAGTAGATCTCAGGTAAGGAGTACAACATGTGTTTTACAATAATGAATGCACATGTTATGTTTACATTTGAATTTTGAATTTTTTGTTTTTAAGGTACAGTACTTTTCCTAAATATGTTAAAAGCAATGATCAACTGCCTAGTACTTGTAATGACAGAAGTACGACAACGTATACAAACTCATATTAACGTATACAGTTTATATACGTAAAACAGATAAACAGTTTATTAGTAAAACAAAATTAAAAGATATAAAACATTTTCAAGTTTTTCTTAACTACACCTATGCTAAAGTCATGGCTTTGATTATTTTTGTCAATTTTAATAATTTTTTTTGTCTATTGTTTATTTTTTATTAATTCTTTAAAACGTTAACAAAATGTAAAAATTCATAAATATATATTAAAAACTATTTTTTACAATGTTTTACAAAAGCTTTCTATGAAATAAAAATTATATTTCAAAAATGTAAATAATAATTTATAGATGTTAATCCTAATACAGATTGTATTAAAACTTTTATTATGAAGTTTATGCAAACACATGCCATATAAAACCTAAAAAAATTGTTTTTAATGCAATTTTTCACTTCAGCTATGAGCACCTAAATTTAATCAACTAATTTAAATAATAAAATTTGCATAAGGTTATAGAATATTCAATAAATTTATTATATATAAATTTTAAAAATATTATATCACTGATAACGTTTATTCCTGCACATAATGTCTTTTTTATCATGTTTTTATACCATATGAAAATCATTATATATTTAAATATTAATATCTTGTCAATTATTTAATGAATTTGAAATGGTTTTACATAGAATATATATAATATAATAATAAATTTTAAAAAAATTTTCACATTTTATTCATAGTCAAATGACATTGCTTTTCTAAGTAAATTTCATTTTAATCAATATGTATGATTGTATAAAGCATTTAATTATTACTTGTACATAAATATTCTTATATAAAACAAACAAAAAAAATAATTTTATTCATTTTCATACTGTGACAAAGTAGAATTGTTTAATATTTTAAGTTATTTTTAATAAATATCGAAAATATAACACATACAAAAAATTATCAATAAGAATGAAAGACATACAATCGGTTATTTCTTAGTTCAAACTTTTTATATACAGTATTTTTAGAATTGATAGTATTTATATAATAAATTTTGTTATTTTTTCTTCTTATAATTATTATAATATTTTCTATCTTCAAATTTATTTTTCTGAGTTTTTTCTCATCTTATTAGCCAGAAAGCACGAACCTGGGGCTTCATCAAGTAAAATCCAATTCGTTTCATTTAGATGGCAGGTGTAATGCTTTTTGTTTGAACCATCCTCAAATTGGAAATTTCGAAAGCAAGTAGAAGTGCACATCCTACAAACAGTTTTAAGTTAAATTTAGAAATATACTTTTAAAAATAACGTGTTAGATAATTATATATTATATACTTACATAGTTAAGTTTACAATATCACAGTTAGTGTAACTATACTCTGGAGCTTTTACACAATCTAAATAAATTAAATATAGGAAAAATATAATTAAGTAAAATGTAATTTAAGTTATTACTTCAAATAGAATTTTTATTTATAAAAAGTGCTAATAATTCTAAAGTTATATAGAATTTACAGAGTGAATTGCAGAAAACAGTAAATTACATTAATTTGTCTTTTTCTTATCCATTAACTTATATTTAATTGATTATTAATTCTGTCCGTAAAAAATATATACAGTATAATTAAATTTTTATAAATTAACTATAAATTATTTCTTATAAGTATAATTGCATTTAAGAACGTTTAATTCTGTACCTGTAATTAGTTAAATTTAAATATATAAAATTCTTTAAAACAATAAATATTTTGAATTGTTATGGAGAATAATAAAATAATTCAACGAAAAATACGGTATAGAGTATGTTTAAATAAACATTTTCATATTTTAATTTAACATATTAAATTTATATACTATAAATAGTAAATATATTTATAACTATTATTAATTAATTTACACTTAATTTTAAGGAAGTTTAATTAGAATAATTTACCTAATATCTCCTCTATGTATTGTTCTGTTGTATCTGTTTCATTTTTTTCATTTGGTTTGGATAGTTTAATTGCTATAATTAAATATATATATATAGAATTTTGTATCTTTGATTACTAAGTAATTAAATTATATGGAAGGTAAACTTACAAAGTTTTTCCGAATCATTTAATTTGATACTGAAATAAAATTTATTTTAATTTCATTTTTTATACTTAATTAATTTAGTATATTTTAAATTTACTTACTCTGTAGGAACAGGTGATAGATAACATACGTTTACAAAGGAGAAAAAGAAAATTAAAATTTTAAGCACTACCATAATTCTAGCTTTTTACAACTTAACTACTGTTATCAAAGTGAGTAAAGTCAATAATGTTTTGTTGTTTTAAATTTACTGATATTAAAATGCAAAATCATTTCTTTTCCAACACGCCATATCATACATTATTATCATTATTTTTTCTTCAAGTTTTGTTTTGACAGCTAAGCAGTTTTTAATATTTTAATCACGTGTTATGATTAACAAAATAAGATGAATTTATATAATAACCTGAATAGTTTTTTAAATAAACTTAATTTTTTTTTCATTTAAAATACTAGGACAAGGGTAAAAAATGAGTCAATTGTCTGAGATTCTTCCAAGCAATTGTTAAATCCTTCTTGTAAAGCTGGAATGTTTACTCATCGTCATTCAATTAGCTTTAAGATAGTGGTTTAAAAACAAATAAGCGATTTTTTGACTTTATAAAGGTTTATTTTACGGTATTTCATTCACCAATTACAAATTGTGAGAATGTCATAACCTCGAAAACCTTAGACCGGAATCTCCAAAAATGTAAAATATCAAATATATATTTGTGTAATTTTTTATCTCATATTGGCAGTGGGAAATAATATATTGAAGAATAGTGACTGAATTTTTTTCATCTGAAATGTGTCAATTATACCGTAATTCCATAAAATTTGTAGAATAAATTCATACGGAGTATAATAAAAAAGTTAAATTAGCATTTAACTTAAGAGTTTTTAATGTGTAATATATTTCTATCGTTTTGTCTAAAGCAGTCATCGTCTTAGCCGACAAAAATATCAAGAAACGTAAAACAGTAAGCAGAATCTGGTTAACTCGAAATGGGATAACTCACATTTATTTGAATTCATTTTCTTTCCTCGATCGTCCAGCAAAGGGATTTTCACATTAAATTAAACTAGTTAACTAAAATTCGTCGAACTGTTTAACTTGAATGGTGTTTTGATGTTATTTTCATAAATTCTCCGGAATTTTGATTTAAATGAAATTATTAACGTTCATCTAATTATCGAGTAAAACTAATCAAAAACTTTTTAAAAAGCCCAGGAACCACGTAGGACTAAAAATAAACATCATGCCAGGTGACGAAACTCGGGATGATGGCTTCCAGACAACGTGTGTGACCAAAAGATATTGCAATTTCCATTCGAACCTGCTTTTTTATGACCATTTTTTTATTCGATTGCTGATGGATTTCGCCGACTAACCGACGTAATAAATAAATGATTTATGATAAATTAATTAAAAAAACAAGGATTATAATCCGATTCTATGTAAAAATTTTAACCTTTCATGTATAGAACTGTTGCAGAGAGTGGTTCTTTTGTGATAACAAATAAACAGATCGATTCTAAGCGCAAAATGTAGCAGTTTAAAAATTCCTTACTAATCACGTAGAAGTGAATAGGGACGTCCCGTTGCTGCCAATACCGATATCGGTATCGATACTTTCTCCCGAGTATCGTTACGTATTTCAGACAGGTAAGGTCTGCCCAAAACCGGATTTTGCAGCCGAATGAGAAACCAAAATGGAATTTTACACTATTTTCGGTTAAGTTAAACTTATATAAAACTTATTAATGACAAAAAACCAATAAACGTATTACGTCAAATTTCATTTTCAAATATATATATATGCTAAGAGTTCTGATCACTATTTATAAATAAATATTTCGTTTAACAAACAAAAGTAGTGCATAATGTTTATCAACTTGGACCATCAATGATATTTAAAATGAGCTACAAGTTTGCGAAATTTGACCTGAAATATCTCAGCCTGTAGATTGAATTTTACGCAGGAATATCGTCCGGAATATTCCGTGGCGAAGCCGGAATATTCCGGCTTCGTTCATCAAATTATCCATTCCGGACGATATTCCGGCGTGTCGTGGCGATATCGTGGCGAAGCCGATATCGGCCATACATAGTTGTACTTATTTGCAAAAATCTCATTTAATCGTCGTGCGATTGCTTTGAACTTTAATCACAGGCAAATGACTTTCTGACTTATGAGAGCTTCGTTCAATTAAATTCGCTGAAAAATGTTACTTAAATAGAAACTATTCTATTCAAAACATGTAGAGGAGAAGGTGATATATGGAACCCCATTTTCATTTTAGTGAATTGTAAACAAGGTATCATAACTACACCCACATTTTTTTGTGCGAAAAGTACTGGTAACTATTAAACTAAATGTTTCTAATTGGATTTTTCGCTAGTGTAACTGTTAGTATGGTTTTTGAAGGCCTCTGTACAAAAAGTCAGAAAGTAGGCTTAGGGAAAACCGTGTGGTAATATGGAACCTTACTGTATGTTTTCAAAAAATGCTTTAATGTATCCAAAAACAAATATGAAAGTTCAAAGAATTTTAAATAATTACAAAATTATTTATTCCAATGTATTTTATCGAAAAAATGCTTTTATAATAGAAAAATATGACCTCCATCAACAATATATATTCCAGCAGCTCTTTTTCGATATTCTCAGGAAGAATTGGCTTTCTACCTAATGTCTTTTTCACAAATTGCTCCGGACAAATGTCTGCTTGCAAAGAGAGAGTTCGGAGGAGTTGGGTTTCATATTAAAAGCACCAATGGCGTCGCCATCTTGAATTAACTTACGTCTGTCAAGACCAAATTTAAAAAACACCGTGAACATCACACAGATTAATATGTACTCCTAAGTCTCTGGAACGGAATACATACACCAGTGAACCTACAACTGTACGATTTATATTTTAGAAATAATTAAATTCACTTGTCATTAAAAACTTTCGAATTTTGAAAAACACAAATTTGCTGATTCACTACGGAGAACCGTTTAACTGAAGTAAAACGGATTTTGCCCTTGCTATGGATGTCTGCCTAGTGCAGTTCAGACACAATCCGCTACAGTTCGCCTTTATTATCAGTTCGAAATGGAGTGGTTCCATAATACCCGCAGTGTTCCATAATCCCACCTTTTCATCTATTAATTATTAACACATATCTCAAGGATTTTTACATATATTCAATTAATATACTGACAATTAAATACAGTATATTTATTTATGTTAAAATACAGTAATTGATACATTAAGTGAAATAAACATATTATTTATATAATTTATTTCAGAAAAGTTTAAACACACATTATAATTAAAAACGTAGGCCTACTGTTAGTTTGATTTAACACTTTTTCCATGTATTCACTAGATTAAAATCGAAAATAGTGGAATTCATTTTAAACACAAATATATCGCGACTAGAACTATTATACGAGAAGAAAGCATCTTTTCCTTTTATCATTCAGTCGATCCCTTTACTTTTTAAATATTTCCGTTATGTGGACACTAAGATGATCTCACTATATTCTTTATGGTTATGGCAGGTCTGCGATGAAGCAACCGAGTTATTAGGAATGGTCTCCTGTATATACTGAAATATTCTTGAATTATAACCAAGAATCGAATCCTAACAGATTTTGAGATTGTCAGATACGCTCCTCAGTTTCTTTGCTATCCATATACAATCCTTATATAATTCTTAAATAAATAAAGACTGTTAACAAGCATTAGTTTATAAAAAGGTGGTTAGTTTGTTTAAAAAATTCAATAAGATTAAACATTTTCTATACATTAATTTTGATATCCAAGCGTGATATCTAAGTTGTCCTTTAGATTTTAGTTATTTTGGCCCATAGAAATTTTCGCGTAACTAATTTATGAAATTGAAGATAAAGTAAAACAGAAAAACCTTTATTTCTAACTTAATTAAATTAATTTAATATTTCTATAAACAATTTATATTCAGTAATTTGGGTTATACAGTTTTGATGTTAACGTTGTGTTTGGGTCGTAACTACAAAATTGATTTTAAAAAATAATTGTTTAAAGGAAATGCATATTTACAAAAATAATATCAGAATTCTCGGAAAGAAGCAAGTAATTAGAAAAACAAACAAAAAATATTTACATAAATTTAATAAATTTTTAATGCAAATCATTTCAATAATTAATAGTCATGAAACGTTGATCAAAAGTCATTCAAGCAAATCATAGAGTTATTGAATAGATGAATTAATTGCTTATAAAATAATTATTAATTAAATATAGACTAATTGAATAAAATTAATATAGAAGAATTTCAACAATCTTTTTAATATTTTTTCCTTCTAGTAAAATTATTTAAATCGAACAAATTCACACATTTCATCGAGAATCAATTTGCATTTTATTTCAAAATAAAAGTTTATACTTTATTGAAATTTTTTTAAGTTTTATACTTTATAAGTTTATTATATTATGTTTAAAACAAAATAAAATATAAAAATTCAATATACTGATTAGGAAAATGTAAATTAAATTTAATGAATATGTTTGTAATTAGAATGACCGCTTTTATCCATTACTTTTTCTATATGGTGACTATGAGTGTTTTCTTTTAAATTCCAAAACATAATACAACGATATAGAACAAAATAATTATAATTGTTTTAATTTATTAAATAAATTATTTTAGTAATAATTTAAAACGAATTACTTCTTCGTCGAATAACTTTACGTTACTAGAAAATATCGAATATTTGTCAGGTTTTTTTGGGGAAACAGTTTTTGGGGACTATTTGCATATTTTTTGTCATATTTTTTAAATGTGCTATTTATAATATATTTTATGTTTTGAAATTTTATAAAAATATCATAAAAAATTTTCATAAGATTTGATTCCTTTGTGTTATTTTTAAAATAAAAAACCTTATTTATATTTTTTAATTTTTGTTTCCTTTGCTAATGTTTTTTTTTAATTTAAAAGTCACATAACAAATTTTAACGATGAAATGTACCTAACATAATTTTTTATAAGAATTAAAATTATATATTTTTTTATATTAAACTGTAATCTAACTTATTAAGTTAAATACAAGACAAAATAAATGAAAATTCTCCACAACAATATTCTATGAGTGTTGAAAGAGGAGAATATTTAGAATGGCTTGCCTGTGACATTTCAAACCTCGCGTTAATTTATGGCTGTGAGGATGGAAAAATAACGTGCTTATGCTACATACATACATAC